TTTAAAAAAAAGATTGTTGCATCATAGTCTATAATAATAAGGATGAAGAGCCTATTAAAACTTTGGATTATTGGAAAAACTTATATTTAGAATCAATAAACTCAAAAGACCCAGAAAATGTTCCTATTTTTGTCATTTAGAATAATTTTGTTGAGAATAATGAAATAATAAAAAGTTAACTTGTTGAATAGTGGTGTAAATAAAATAGAGTTAAATAATTGTTCGAAGTATCTGCAAAAGACAATTTGGTTATTAATGAAACATTCATAGAGATTGCAAAGATCTTATTCAAATAAAAATAAAATATAATGAACAAGGCCAATCATGCAATTAATTAAATAGATGATTCATAGAATGTATTATCATCTGAATATACAATTGTGAAATCATAATTAAAATGCAATATGTAAGAAAAAAATAATTCTATTAAATGTTATAATTAGCATGATAGCCCACCAATAATAGTACTACTTGATGATAATCTTAAAGGTATTTAAAGATTAGTTTGTTCTTAATGCATAAATGATATAAGAGGAAAATTTAATGGAATTAATATTGATGAAGCTATTTTAACAATTGAAGACAGGAAGAATAATTTCCTTAATCAAATATCGGATTTTAATCAAAAAATTATAAACAGTTTAAATTATTACATTGGCAAAATTGTGTAAAATAAAAATGAAATTATATAAACAATGGATTAAATGATAAGTTAAGTTAAAGATTGGATAGATGATATATAATAATTTGAGTTTAAGTAATGCTCTTACAATTTTTTAGATGAAATAGATTACTTAAATCAGTCTATTGAAAAAATAAAAGATAAATAAATTGATGAATTTAAAAAAGTTATTTACTCTATTAACTAATCTTATGAAACAAAAATCTAGCCTAAAAAATAATTATTAAATGAGTAATTGCTTAGTGCTTAAAATACTTTAAGATTACAATCATCTAATGTTTCAATTAAGCGATTAAATTCAGAAGTAGTAAAAGATTATCTAGAAACAAAAACATATAACTAAATATAATACAAATTAGTTTAAGAAGTTAAACAAAAAGAATGGTGCCATGCATTAGCATTTAATTATAATGAATCCATAATGGCGGGTAGTTTTGATAAAAGCATTAAAATATGGAGTTTTTAATAAGGATAATTGTAGGATAAAAATATAATCTTAGATGGTCATGAAAAGCTTATTAAATGTATAGTATTCAGTAGAAAAAATAATTGGTTTTTCTCTGGAAGTGAAGATCACACAATTAGAAGCTGGAAAGAAAAATAGAGTTGGTTTCTTTCTAGTAAATGGGAGAGTGTTAAAGCTAATAAAGCACATTCAAACTAGGTAATTTAATTAATATTAAATGAATAAGAAAATGAATTGATATCATGTAGTGTAGATAAGACAATTAAGATTTGGAGAGTTTTTTATGATTCAAATTCAATAAAATTTTTAGATTCTCTTGAAAAACATTAACAATAAATATTATCAATTAGTTTAAATTAATCTCAAAAATAATTAATTTCTTGGGGTGAAGACAAATAAGTAATTTTATGGGAAAAGAATTAATAATTCAAATGGTAATTTAAAAATATCATCCTTTTATCAATTCAAGAAATAAATAGAGGGGCTAGATTTCTTATGGATAATTAGATTATATGTAAAACATCTTAAGGATAGCTACAAAATTATGTATAAGAAAATTATATATATCAATAAAAGTAAGTATTAGATTTTAATGTTGAAAATCCTGATTTGAATCCAAAAGAATTTTAAATAATTTTTAATATTTAAACTTAATTAATAGTAATGAAACATCATTAATATTTCTATTTTTTTAGAAATAATGTGGATGATTGGAAATTTTAATAAGTATGTTAACCTTTAGAATGTCAAAAAGAAGTTTGTTTTTTTAATATTTCAAATGATGGAAAATATTTAATTGTGTGGATTTAGCATCCTTTATTAAGATTTAGAGTATATGAGTTGATATATAGTAATATGTATTGATGATAATAAAATGATATTTATATTTAAATATTTGTATTCAAAATTTCTGAACAGACATAAAAATCAAAGTATTTTATGATATGTAGAAATTAATTTAATTTATCAACTTCAATCTACGAATTCAATTATACCCTTGAGTTTTAATCTATATACATTTTTGTTTGGAAAGAACTAAATAAAGGTTAGTAATTTTCAACACTTGTTCTTGAAAGCTTCGTATTGTTTTTATTTAGATTAATTGCAGTGTTAAAAAGTTGAAATGCTTTTTACTATCTATAAATTTTCAGTATTGACAATTAAAAAGTCTTTTTCTGTTAATTTATTTCCTATATATATCCATCTCTATTGTAATGAACTTTATCATTGTGATTATTGAATTCTAGTGCCATCTCATAGTTATTGAGAAAAATAACCTTTATTAGATTATACTAAATCATTAACTGGATAATAATTTATTGCTGTCTATATTTAAAAAAGAGCTTTTTCAAATTTGCCTAAATTATTAATATACCTGTAAGAGACATCTTTAAAATTAATAAAGCTCCTGCAATTTTGTAAGCTATTTTAGAGGTTGAATTGATTAATACGGTTAACTCAAAATATTATATGGCCTCTACATATTAGATGCTATAATCTTTAAATAATGAAAGCTTAATACTGTAATCAAATCTACCTTTAGCTTTACTCAAATAATATTAGTGGTTATCATCTCCTGCCAAAAGCAATGAGTTAGTTTTCTATTTTAAAACATTCTTGTGTAGTATTTCAAAGAGTTTGAACAATTTAATAAGAGTTTTATTAAATTATATATTTGAAAAGAATTCACATAAATTAATAATACATTCTCTTAGAGCTTAGAATAATATTTTCTAAGGAAGCCTAGATCAATATAATATTAGATAATCTCGTTTTAGGATATTCCATTCAAATTTAACAATTTTTTGGAGATCTTCTAAGGTTATTTTGTTGACTAACAATATTTGTAAAGTTTTCTCAATTTATGAAATTATTAAAAAAAATTGTTCTGTTTGAATATCATATTTATCATAACTAAATTCAATAAGAACTATGATTTTATTATTGATGTTTTAAACATTTCAATAAAAATTAAGGAGGAAATAAGCAATATTAACACAAAATTCGAAAATGGCTTTCATAAAGACAATGAATTAAACTCTATCATTTTTTTTGCAATTTAATTATTATTAATTTTCATTAAATAAATAAACATAAATAATAAACTGTTTGCTATATAATTCATAAATCAATAATTGTTATTAATTTTAATATAAAAACAATATAATATAGAAAAATCCTTATAAAAAGTTTATAAAATGTTTTATTGATTCATTAGATTGTGATTTCTATTAGACATTATAAATAAAATATTATTAAATGTAGGCAACTATTTAAAATTCTAATTTAAATCTAAAGTATTAAATAAGTAAATTTTCTATAGTAGTTTAACTGCTTTAAAAGAAGCTTTGTGCTGAAAATAATGTATAGTAATCTAATACATGAATGATTAAATAGAACTAAATATATTTTTATAATGACGAAGATTCCATTTCAT